TAAGGTGGCCTAGTTGGAGGTGTAGGAGGCGGTGATGGTGGTATGTAAGGTGGCCTAGTTGGAGGTGTAGGTGGCGGTGATGGTGGTATATAAGGTGGCCTAGTTGGAGGTGTAGGGGGCGGTGATGGTGGTATGTAAGGTGGTCTGGTTGGAGGTGTAGGCGGCTGTGATGGTGGTATGTAAGGTGGTCTTGTTGGAGGTGTAGGCGGCGGTGATGGTGGTATATAAGGTGGTCTGGTTGGAGGTGATGGAGGAGGTGTTCTTGGTGGTAGTGTAAACTCTGTGCCTGGAGTTGAATAAACATATCCTTCACTTGTTAAAGGAAATGGTATTCTTTGTGTAGTTCTTGGTGGTGAGGGTGGTGTTCTGATTGGCGGCGGTGTTGTTCTAATCGGTGGTGGTGTTGTTCTGATCGGCGGTGGTGTTCTGATCGGCGGCGTCGTAAATGGTATTCTGGGAGTTGTATAAGGATATCCAGTTGTTTTTGGAGGAGGTGGTGGTGTTTTGATCGGCGGCGGTGTTGTTCTGATTGGCGGTGGTGTTGTTCTGATCGGCGGCGGTGTTGTAGACGGCGTCGTAAATGGTATTCTGGGAGTTGTATAAGTATATCCACTCGTTACTGGAGGAGGTGGTGTTTTTGGTGGCGATGGTGGTGTCCTAGGCGGTACAGTCACAGTAATCTTTGGAGTTGTATATACATATTCCGTGGTGAATGGTGGTACGGTTGCTATGCTTGTCCGTGAACCTCTGTCAATGTAATTATAGCTTACGAATATATGCTTAGACAAAAAACTATATTTAGCTTTAACTATTACTAGACAATCAGTTGTAATTATATATATACAGGTTTTAAATCAAATTGTAATTGAATTAACAATGACATTTTGTATATGTCATACAAAAATATTTTAGAAAAAATTTATTTACACTTACGAAGGAGGTAAAGTGAAAGGCTTAGATGGTGGTTCATAGACGTAGCCCTGGAATTGGGCGCTATTTTCTATCGCGCGTTTACTTCTTCCATGGTTTGCTTCTACATGCCATGTAGAGAGTGCAGCCACTAAAGTGGCCGTCAAAAGTAGTTTCCACTGTAATATAACTTTCTTTATAATCTATTCTAATTTTAGATATAAAATAAAAATGTATACAATTAAATATTACGTTTTTAGCATAATATTTATTGCATAATATTTGATTATCATATTTTTATATTTAAATAAGATACAAACATTATATACATGTAATATTATTATTATATTAAATGTGTGAAATTTTATAATAATAAATATATTGAATTTTTATATATATTTATTTTAATTAAAATAATATAAGTGGTTTTCAAATTCTTCTTCAATAATTGGTAAGACACTCATGTATGCAATTGTAATAGATCGAAGATCGTTTATATAGAATAAAATCTCGCGCCTCACCTACGATAGTCTTACATAACACATCTCAGGGTCTCACAACGCTATACAACGATGACAATCGTGAAAGGTGGAATACAGTTATCGTACGTTTTCATTGATTAACGTTCGACAATCCTACAATTTACTACGACATACTATGCTTTCTGAACAGTTCTATTATGAACAATTTATATTGCATAAAAACGTGACAGAATTTGTTTTAATGTAACATTAACTTTCGTAGTTATACGTACGTGCTGTAAAATTATTACATAAACAAAGTCAGTTAAAACTTCCAATTTACACATAAACATATACATAATTTCTAATACTATGAGAAGAGAGAGATGATAAGTAATAATATAATCTTAACAATAATAATATCACAAGACATATTATGTGATTTATAGACATTTTACTTAAATACAATAATTTAAAAAATGAGATCGAACACATTAATTCATTATAAAAATTATTAGAACACTCGTAAACAGTTTAGAAATTATCTGAGTTAAACTTTTACAATTTTACGTAGTTTATTACATTTATTATCCAATGATTTAATATTACGAGAAACAGTGTATCAAATAATTTCTGTGTGCTTTTTGCTCACATATATATTCTGTGGCATCATCTAAGTCAATCGACTACGTCTATTAATCTATCGCTATATGTTTATTCCACTCTTCTGACCTTTACAGGTATTCATATTTACTTTAGACAGGTTTCTTTCTTAACGTGTCTTCGCAAGGAACCCCATTGTACTAGTGACAAGAAGTTCTCTTCGATTAGAGGTAATCACACTAAGAACTTAATAGTCTTGTTTGTCTGTCAAAAAATCAATAACAACATATAATTTCTAACAAATTTTTGCAAAAAATATGATATTTTAAAGAATTACTCTGTAGAAAGCGTTCAATAACGATACTGGTTTTACTGGTCGACTTCAAGCGTATAAGTTCACTCACGTTCTGTCGAAAAATTACGTGGGTCGTGATTATATAAATGCAAAAGGCGCGTACGATTTTGTGAAGAAGACTGCACAGCGTGAACTTATCTACTAGATGATAGATGTTTTTGACGGAATGTATGACAAGATTTATTTGCAAACCATTTACCAGTGACATGAATAATCATGGTATTCTTGTAACTCTGTAGAAATGCTCGGAAGACTACAAGAAAGATTCCGCTTTCTTAAAGAAACTTGTCAAAAGGACATTTATATTTAAAATCCTGGCGTGATAGCAATGAAAAAAGGTAATTTCGAAACTTTGTTGCATATGTCGGGCACAAGCATGCTTTTTTATAGCAATTATCTTGTTGAATTAATAAGTGGCACAATTATTAGAGCATGTGATAATTGAAAACATCGCAGTACAAACATCACTCTTGTTTACTTAGCACCGCGTAGAAATTCGTGCAAATTAAATAAACAATCGAACGGTACTCGCGAAGTATCTTTTAAATGTTTTATTTGTGTACATTCGGAGAAAGCGAAAGGTGCCGCGAGATGCCGACCGATAAGCGAGGACGGACCTCGATGGCCTTTTTCTCGCTGGATCCACGGATGGATCGTGCAAGGTGCAAAACGTCTCTTACGCAAGACAATCGAGCGTTGAAATTCCCAATCACGCGACTGTCGCTAATGGACACACGGAAGAAGATTCGATCCAATCACACGATGGCAATCAAGAAGATGTAGAGTTTTTTTTGTAAGAGCGGACCTTTTCGAGAGAAAGAAAGCGAAAGAGAGAGAGAGAGAGAGAGAGAGAGAGAGAGAGAGAGAGAGAAAGAAGAGAATTGCGCTTGTAAATAAAAGAGCTCTCTGTGAAAAATATTACAAGCGTCGTTTTAACGAACAATTTCACAGATTTATTAAAATTGATAGACATATTAAAAATCGCAAAAATTTATTTTGCATAAGCAAAACATGTTGGATTTTATAACATATGTGAGATGTATCACACATATTTATTTCACAATACGGGATTTCGCAAAACGCGCTTCTTCGCGTATCGCAATGCATCCTTGACGAAAAAAAAAGCAGGTGCCATAATTCGCGAGTGCCACCCAAGACTTGTGCCGTCGTACGCAATAGAAGTCAGCCAGTAGAGAAAGCACTATTCGCGTCTGGTTCGGTTTTTACGCAGCTGTTCGTTTCTTGGCGAAACAAGCTTAATCGGTGTTGGGGTGAGTGTATTTAACAAGTGAGCGGACTGTCGTCTATGACAGCGGCTGGGTCATAAGGTGCAAATACACACGGGAATTTTCTTGCATAAAGTCCGCGAACATCGTTCGCGTTACGTCTTGCCACTAATAAAAGAGGTAACCGGATCTTTCAGTTGCTTTCCAATTGTCGTGCGGGTCACAACCCAAAATAGACCAAAATTTATTTGCAATCAATTTTTCCAAATACAAGCAACACGTTTAGTCATTAACATGACATTATTATTGTGTATTGTATAGGGAAAAAAATCCATAAAAAGAATAGAAACTTCCGTAACCGGGCGCTTCTTCGCGCGCGTGTGAATATTGGCTTTTATCTGTGAGACATGTGTCTTTATTAACGAGAAATACGACACGTCTTGGAAAAAGACCGAAGAAACTTTATTGTCGAGGGACGATAAAAAAAGTTCCGGTTGTGCCGCACGCGACGCGACGCGTTTTCGCTGTTTAACATAACAGAGAGAAATGATTTCCAAGCCGGGATCTTACGTACGTATGTGGCGAAAAAAAAAACTCGTGTCTTCGCTTTTCAACCCCATGACATTTCTACGTGTGTTCACGTAGCTACGCGTGTATTATATCGCGAGAAATTGCGACGGCGCATTTATTTGTCGTTGGATGTGTCATAAAAAGCGTCACTTTCCCCCTCACGTTAAGCGTAACGGTATGTGAGAAATTCATCGCTGCGTACTACAATAGCTTTACGACGGTGAAAAGCTGTAAAACATAACCAATTTGACTGAATAGAGTTGCTAACAATGTATTTTACAACGTATCCGCGGAATTTGTAACCGAGATGAGCACAAGACGAGAAACAACATTAACTCAATTCCAATTTTACAAGATATGTTTTCTAGATGTTCTAATTAACGATTCTCTGATAAAAGTGAAGAGACACGACAGTAGCGCGGAATGTGTGCGACGTGCTTTAAGTAAAACCTCACGGTCTGATTCGACGAATTTCTTTGAATTCTTGTTTAAAGGTAAAAGTTTATCGCGTTTGTGCCGACGCGATGGGCCGCATTATAATTACATTATGCAATCGAGTGGCCTCGCGAGATCGAATCACCTGTCCTGAGGGGAGTAAAGCACGTGAATTTAATCGCGGAGAAAAGAAAAGGACAGCCCGATCATTTATTTATCATTATTGCGAAATGACGTAGGCCCATCTTGAAATTTACTTGACCAATTTGGTTCCTAACGGCGGCGGCGGCGGCGGCGCTATTGCGTAATCGAGAAATACCACGACGGCCGGCATCCACTGGATTCTGCGATCCGATCGATCAATGTAAGGTGATGCAGGAGATGAGGACGCTGCCCGATAAATGCAAACGATCACCCATACATAAGCGAGAATGTGAGTCACGCGCGTGAGACAAGCGAGGCGCAGCCTCGTTCTCACATATTTAAGTCTTGATGATAATGACAGAACACAAGTGTTTTGATAGTTAAATAACGAATCAGATTCGATCGAGTCTGTAAAATGTTACGAGAGATCATTTTTTTTTTTTTTTTGTTTTGCAAAGAAAATGTTATGCGATACATGTATAAAGAAAAGAAAGAATTCTTTCTCATATAATTTTGAAAAGATGAGATTTTTTTCAAGGTCGAAGCAGCTTCATATAAAAAAGATTCAACCTTGCCAGTAACGTTCGAAACATTAATTTGAGGGACAAATAACTTTTGTTTAATAATGACGAATTTTATCTACGAATTAATTTCTTCGATGTCCACTACATGGTTTTCAATTATACATATTAAATACAATTTTTGAAAACATGACACGTGTTTAAGATAAACAAGTTTTTTATATATTAGGTCTACCGGAAAGTTCTGTCCGTTTTTTGGAATAAAACAAAATACACATTTTTCTTACCGTCAATAAACTTTATTAAATAATATAATTGCCATTATTATTAATGATTTCTTGCCAGCGTGAGGGCAATTTGTATATCCCATTTTTTAAAAATTAAGAAAAATTTATATTTTGTTTTATTCCAAAAACGGACAGAACTTTCCGGTAGACCTAATATATCCTAAATGAAAAAAAAAGGATTTATAAATTTATCAATTACGTGATAAAGGCAAAAGAAAAAAGAAACGATCAAAGGATCAGAAATCAGAAACTAGCTTATTTACAGTAGTCACAACAATCACTACAATCGCGAGTGAATGTCATTACGTTCTAAGTTACCGAATTGAATCTTCTTTAGAAGTGACTCTCGAACGTGACAAATCGCCAACCGAACAATTCATCATCCTGTCGGCGTGCACTAATCTGAAGATTTAGAAAAAGTCCCGCAGGGGATTGGAACCTACTGCGATATTTGTTTGCGTAACACGTCAAGCACATGCTTCGGTAGTAATTACGACATTTTTGCAGGTCGTTAATGACGCGCAGTCATTGACATTCAAGCACGAACCATGTGGCGAATAGATTAGTGAAAGTTAGGATTATGTTGCAAGGCGGGTGTAATTAGTATATGACAATCTATATTCTAGGTATGACAATCTATATTCTAGGTTACAATTTGCGAGTAAAAAAATATTGTTACATCTCATTTGCAACGATTTTGATTAAATTACATTTATGTATCAAATTGCACAGTTTTTTTTATATCAAATGTTATATAACTAACACTAGTAATATTTGATAGAATAAGTCTTGTAATTTTTAAAAAAGTTTTATATTTTTTTTAATATTTTATATGCCATAGTGTTTTATGTTGTATATATATATGCGAAGACGTGAGTCACTCGCATAAAACAAAATATTTTTGTACGTTTTGTAGTGACGTGACATGATCGATCCTTATACTTCTCGTAGAGTAAAAACCTTTCACACGATGAGGCTCTCGCGATTATGTAGTTAGCAATTGAATATGCATTTCTATTATCTCGCGTTCTGAACGCTGATGGGTATCGCGAGTATATGACGTTCTCGCGCGACATGTAGAATTGTGCCAATGACGTAAAGACTACATCGTCACATTGCGCACACGTATATATTTCATTCGCACTTTCTAAGTACAAATCAGCATTGTGTCTCAAAACAGCGTGAAAAGGAGAGAGAGAGAAGCGAATTATCAAAATATAAAGGTTCGTTAAATTAAAGATCAAAATCGCTGAAAAATATACGGATCAATCGGATTCGTTTGTCTAATTTGCATAGGGCGTGTTTTGTGAGAGACTTGTGTATCGCAACATGCCTTATCTGGGACCGAGTGCGAGAAGATGCGGTTGTATTACGCCACGCGAGAGATCCTCGAGGAGATCTCTAATGGCACGCGAACCGTACAGTTTGATGGCATATAATGTTTTTTTTTTTTTTTTTTTTTTACGCAGAGATTGACCTTTGCCGAGCGAAAACTACTTTGTTACGTGATCAAAAAAAAACATCGTTCCCATTTTAATTCGCGCATTAAACAAGAATGGACATCTCGTTAGATAGCGCTAAAATTCGAAGAATTATAGGAATTGCATAAGTTTTTACTAATAAACACATCTTTTTATAATCGTACTTAAATCATCGACGCGGCAGCAAAGAGGTTTAATTTACATATTAATTAACATCATGAAAGATATTTTATAGAAGACATTAATGGATTGTTTTAGTTGCGTGGGAACGCTCTTCAACTTCAGAACAAAGTAATAAGTTCTCTCATACAAAGAAAATTAATTTAATTAGTTAAGTTTATATTTAGTATAATTTTGAAATTATGATTTTTCTCTTCTATTGCGCATGAATTTCAGTCTGAGATGGTGCGTTTTTCTTTACTTGTAAACAGTGACACACTTAAATAACATTCAAATAAAATTATAAATTATTGTGTTTTTATTTAGATTTTTATTGTAACATATACGCTAAATAAAAAAAACCAAGATTTATTGACAAATTTTCAGTTTAAGTAGCCAATGATAACCTTTGACATTTGCAACTGCAACACCCAGCTGTATCGCTGTTAATTCCCACGAGAAGATTGCACGCGCAAGGTTTACGTGGAAATATCAAATGGCGAGTTTACTGACGAAAAATGTTATTTTGCAGAAAAAGTAAAAGTAAAAGATAAAACAACTCGCGGCGAAGAGAAACTAAAATTCAAAAGCACGAAGATGACCAGGCACTCGTTATTGTCGCGAGAATGCACGCGGAATAAATTATCTCCGAGAGATGCGCTTTTGCCGTTGCATCCGCTGCAGAGTCGATACTTTCAACCATAAATTTTTTTTTGTTTTTTTTGTTTTTATGACGCAACGTTCGATTTCTCGAGTTTCGATTTAGCGACGATTTCTCACTATAGCGTTTTCACTGTATTTCTCCCACTATTTTTGGCACAATTTCGACGGAGGAAGGATATTCGCAACCCTCTCTTCGCGTTTGCCGCCCTCTCCCGGTATTTTTTTTTTCCGCTTACTGTCGCTCACGTCACTTTGTGATTCACGATTCGATTTTGACGCACTACCTTACTTACCATGTTGATCGACACGCTTAATCACCGTGGTAAAGAGACCGAAAAAAGAACGGACACTCTAAAACGAACACATGCCTCACTCGGGATTGCCAAAGCGTCCCGGGAGGTGACTTCTTCATCCTGCGAGCGACGAAGAGCATTTATAGGATTCATCTGATTGACTGGTGGGGAGGACAGTACAGTTGGGTCCATAACGATTATTGCCAAGCGCAAGACGCTCGCAGGAGGATGCTGTAACTCTTCTTCTTCTTCCACACGTACGTATAGGTGGCGATCAGGTTGTAAAGTTATAGAGAGAGGGAAGAAAGAGAGTCTGTGAGAGATGAAAGGACCGGGAGAAGGAGGAAGGGGGAGAATATGAGAGAAAGAAAGAAAGTGAGAGTGAGGCATCTCTTGTGAGAAAGATGGAGCAATCCGCGGTGTGTTCCTTGGAAAGGTCTGATCGCGCGAACGCGATGGATGCTGAATGACGATAGCCGAAGGACTCCATATTCGTCCCTGATTCCGGTTGCGTGCTGACAAACGTCCGGAGAGATGTTTTCGTGAGATCCAAGGATATAGGCGATCGAAAAGAAGACGCGTCGTCCGCGTTTCATGTAGCTGCGATGCATCTCTCGTACGTGTTGTTAAAAAAAAAAAAAAAAAAAGCGGACGTCGCGACAATATGAAAGTGTCTCCCGTTCGAATGAGCTCATTATTATTTTGATAGAAAGCAGCGATTTTACGTGACGTGGATATTTTCGGAAGAGAGAACACACTAAAACCGCATCTAGATGCTAAAATTTGCAATCTTTCAAGAATAGATTCGATATATGAGTGTCGGAATATCAGATTTCGTTTTACATTGTCTTTTTTTCATATAATTAAAACAACAACGTAAAAATCGCTTGAAAGCCGCGTCGATAATGATTGCTCAGCAGTTAAATCATTGAGTGCTGTTTCTTTTCTTACATATTTGAAGATTCTACATATATACAACTCAAAATGGCGATGAATTCTTTTTCAGCGTTTTGCTTTTAATGTGATCAAACTAATGTTAATTAAAAGATGTTTTATTTGTGTGATAACGATCTTTTTTGTGCGAGGATCTGAACCAGCAGAAAGCGTTCTTTGCATATGGCAACGCTTTTTTTTTTACTTACACGGGAAAAAAGCCGTGGAAAAGCTGATGGACTCTCATTGCGCAAGGATATCGCATTAACGATCTTCTCGCGGATCTCGTAAACTCGTTGTCGGACGAGATGTTCGGACACAATGACGCTCGACGATCATCTCGACAGGTCGCAGGCGAGCTTTGTCGGTTTTTGCATTGCACACGATGATGTATCGGTCATCGTGAGGTCCAATAATAGTTTAGTACTTATGGCGCAAGTGCTTAGCGTAAGTGTTTAAGCTGTTTGCCAACGAGCGAGCGAACAATATTCACGTGAGAGAAATCTTCAATCTTCGTAACTTTGAAGTTAATCGGTGTCTTTGAAAATTCACACACACACACAAAGCAATTTAGTTAATTTATTAAATATATGATAAAAATAGATGTAATAAATTAAGAAGCATTGCTGGCTAATGGTTTGTTGAAGATCATCTGATGATAATTCTAATGACAAAAAGAAAAAAAGTCTCTCAACTTTTTCTCCCAATATAGTTTATAGTGGTTTGCGACATCGGCACGCTGCGACGTTAAAAATCGAAGATAAAAAGTTGCTCTTTGTTGCCAGATTTATTATCAAGTTATTTTTTGTTGAAAACAAAAAAATAAAATAAATGGCACTAAATATCGCTTTGATAATTTTCCGAGATTTTCATTGAATTAAAAATGGTGGAGAGAGAATATTTTATATTATACACATATAATTATATAATTCTCTTCCTCATAGATTCTCTTTTATAATCACCTTTTACAAACCCTCTTATCAACCTGACCGCGAAAAGTAGATAATTCCCGGCGCACTGTAATTATTTATGAATGAAGTTCATTTCTCACGAAGATAACCTTTCGCTTAGTATTTAGTTCTCTGAATGAAGGGGCTCGACACAACCGCAGAAAAGGTCGCGAGCGCGCTGCTAATGTGACCTTCGCTTTGTTATTTCTGCCGGGTACGTTGTCTTACAAACAGATTCTCATCTCGTAACAAGAGAGATCGATTTCTATATAAAAAAAAAATAAAAATTTCCGGTTCCATATTTACACTATAATTTTGTCGGAAATAAATCTTCCTTCCCCGATGACTTATACTCATGGTTTTAATTAGCGCGGTTCTCCACTTCAATTAGGCTACGTCCTTTTGCGGCGGCCAGATGCAGCGAATGCAACGAGGATTTACGACACGTCCCGCGCCGCAACGATAAACGACCGATCCGACACTGCGAACGCTTCATTACCACCGGTTACCTTAAGCGCTTGGAAACTACCAGACTCCATTAAAATCGACTATGGCAAGACCGCGATTATCCTATCGCCCTATCGGCGTTAAACACGCGGGTCAATCTTTGTTTCATGGCGTGAAAGTACTAAGTGTAATAATATCAATCACACATGAATTATCACCATGTAAATTTNGTCAGGTTCTCATGGATTTATTATATATGTATGAGTGATGACANAGATAGTTGCTTCTCATGACGTCAACTTATAACAACCGATCTTATCTCGTGTTCAAAAAAAAAGGCGTAGACGCTCCCTAAAAAGGATCTCGTAGAAGAAAACATAAATAAACTTGTTCGTCCGCTTTTTTTTTTTTATCGCAAATGGCACGGACGTGCGANGAGAATTTAAAATGAAGTAATACTGTCGCTTGAAAAAAAAATTTTTATTAGATAACAGATATTGCACATAAGATCGTTTTATTACAGTATAGGTATCGAATAAATNTTTTGAAAGTATCAAATTAATTGTTGAACGCGTAAATTTTTTTAAGCTATTGAAATACAAATTAATATGTATTACCTACGAGATTAGTAAAAACACAGAAGTTTTTGTGTAAGAAAATTTTACATAAAGAAAAAACAACAACTAAAAAAAGTATTACACAATCGTAGAGATAAAAATGTATTATATATTAGGTCTACCNGAAAGTTCTGTCCGTTTTTGGAATAAAACAAAATACAAATTTTTCTTACCGTCAATAAACTTTATTAAATANTATAATTGCCATTATTATTAATGATTTCTTGCCAGTGTGAGGGCAATTTGTATATCCCATTTTTGAAAAATTAAGAAAAATTTGTATTTTATTTTATTCCAAAAACGGACAGAACTTTCCGGTAGACCTAATATAATCTTAGAGATAACAAAGAAAAACAGAGAGAGAAAGATAAATACATATTATTTGATGTGTGTGTGTATACATGTGTGTATCAGAGCGCATATTTACATAATTAAATTGTTACGGATATACAATCTTTCTCATTCTTTCTAAACATCTTGGAATTCGGAAATTCCGAAGGACACGACCAGTTTCTTACCAACTTTTTTTTGTCCCACGCTCNGAGAAAGAGAAGAATACATAAGCCTTTTAATTCTTTCGTACATGTATACATTAATTAAATTCGCACTCGTTGAGAACAGATGATATCGAATAATAATTCTGATGAAGAGATGATATCGCATTTTCTAGAATTTCACATTTTTCAAAAATATGATTTTTGCCTCAGGCTTATTAAAAATGTATTTCGCACAAAATTTACGTCAATTATACAGCGGTTGATATGATTATTAAATAATCGATGATTCCCAAAAGATTGATGCACGTCAGAAATAGAAATTAAAAATCTAATGGAAATATTAATAACGTTTACTTCGCATCATTGCTATTATGTGTTATTAACTTATNAAATAATATAAAATATATAATGCGTTACGAGGCAACAAAGTTTTGCCGCGTAACGCATTAACATCATCGCGTATTGCGGCACATCNCCGCCGTGTGTGATGCATTTTCTGTCTAACATGTTTCCCAATTCATTACAGAAAATGTACGCGAGAATAGCATTTTGTTGTCAATGATGATTTCAGACCTTTTTAACTTCTTGAAGAGTCTCGCATCAAGAAACTTGCGTTAATACGTTGAAATGAAAAACAAAGTCGCGAGATAGCACTCTCATTGCCTTCATGGACAAAATTTTCGCTGTTTAAATGTCACGAGGGCGCCGTTTATAGCGACCGAAGCGTTAACCGTCATAACTATCGATATGAGCGAACGTTTTACTTCATTGCTTTATAAGTTATCTCTGTCAAGGTTGGTTTTACAAATTCTCTCTAAATTTTTTTTAACCGAATACATTTTGATTACATATTTTATTAAAATATGTTGAGATACTAAAATCGATTTATTACGAAATTACCGTAACTTTTACGACTGAAAATGTTACCCACGTACAAGAAACTTGCTTCTTCGAGATTGTAAGAACTTTCGCTTTATATACATATAGGTAGTTGAAATTTTCAGCATCTCTTGCCACACTCATGAGAGAATAAAAATGTTACAAGTTACTTCTCCCTTACGATTAGAGAGATTTCAGAAGTTTGTTTGGGATAAATGTTTTAACTCTTTTAATTATAGAACTAATTAATATCCCCTTCTTGCAACTAATTTTAAAGTTCTGTCTCTCTCTCTATCTCAAAGAAACTGTTGTTTTTTTCGTCAATGTTATTTTATTCTGCTTGCGCATCTTCTTGATCTTTTTTCTGTATATGTTAATAAAAAACGTTTGGCATGTTTAAATAAAGATTTTTGTTTATACATCAACACCTAGTATTTGACTCCGTATCGGCCCTTCTGCATATATATTTTTTAACAATTTCATGGAGTATAAATCAAACACATATATTGTTGATGTTAATAAAAGTTTCATAATTTTATTTAAAAAATATTCCATTCATATGAGACACGTAGACCTTGTGCAAGTAACATCGCAAGTAATTTATAATGTAATTCACGTAAATTATCGAGCGTGATGAAACGTNAAAATAAGTCTACACGGAGATATTTATCTCTCCTACGAAATATATTANGAAATACAGACTCGTACGTGTGACATTCGCGGGCATAATGAAGCATTCGGTTACACGGCCCGGTCTTTGGTTCTGTCGTAATCGCGGTATACATAAGCAAATCAAGAAGAAAAAAAAACGAAAACAAGCACGCAACTATCTCTCTCTTGTAAGTCTGTAACAAGAAAGAATCTCGTATTGTCTCGGTTGAATAATTATATAGATGAATGTGTGTGTTCTCATGAATCGAATACATCTGAAACTTAATGATGATTTGCTGCACCACTTTGCATAATCGTTTTATACAAAAATCTCAAGGTTTTTCTTACTGACAAAGGTGTCATTGTGTTTTCCGCATTTTTAAAGATAATAAAGATTAATGATTTCAATTAATTTAAGTTTATTCTCACTTTCGTTACGTGGTTTTTATTATTAATTTATCTTATATATTTATAGCATTATTAATTAACAATAATAACAAACAATTAATACAAATGATGTTAGTGATAATTTGCTTTTTTATGTCTAATTTATTGTGTCATTAATATATCATATCTGTAATAAAGAGTAATTTTATATGTATTATTTATAATGTTCTGAAGTTTTTTATCGTTTAAAAAATTTTTTTTTAATATACAGACATTAAACTTATTTTAACAAAAATCAGTTTTACAAAACTATATATTAGACCAAAAGCGACATAGATCATCTTTGAGTTCAGCTCACGGTTCGGATGATCTTCCAGGATAGAGTTTAGAAGAAATTTCTCGCTTTGTGTTCTTTTTAATAGTAGCCGCCGTAATGACCGTAGCCGCCGTAGCCGCCGTAGAATGGATATCCTAAGTAACAGTGAAGAAATATTTCAATATATTTGNGTGCAAAATAGCAATTTCAATGTAAGAACGCGAGTGTATGAGTGTATGCGTGTGTAAGACAGAATGAGAACAATTTTTTTCTTTGTTATGAAGACAAGTTAATACGTATGTGTAAGCTATTCTTTATAGTTTGCGTGATGTGCGAATAATTATGTAATAAAAACACTGACGCATAATATACAAAACCAGTGTGAATGAGATATTGTGTATTCCATTGTAAAAGAAACTCTCTTGTTCCACTTTTAGGAACTTCCGAGTAAACTGCATTTACTTTTAAAAGCTAAAGATATGATTAATTTATTTATAAAGTTACTATTATTATTTTTTCCCACANCTACAATTAGCAAGAATAATTTAATGTTAAGTACAAAAATTGTCATCATAAATTAGTGAAAACTTGAAGAAGAAACAAACGAAGAAAACAAATGAGCAAATGATCGAATTTTCTGCAACGCTGCGAAATAAATTGTAATTGTGTAGATTTTACCATAAATCTTACCGTATCCANAACCATGACCATATCCATGACCATATCCGTGTCCGTAACCATAGAATGGGAATTTATAACCGTAGGAATACGGATAAAATCCATGACCATATCCGTATCCGTAACCTCCCAAGTATCCCGGTTTTGCAACCACCACGCCGATTGCAACGGCCAAGAGCAAAACAAAATACTATAAAAAAGCAAACAAAAAAATTTATTAAAGAAACAATGTTNTCTAGAGACTTAAATATATTTCACTACGAAACAATGATGAGAGACAAATTTTCGGTCCGTGGAAAATCCGTGCAAAAAAAATGTCTCTTTCTTAAAGCGCTTACAATCTTCAGACTGGCCATTTTTCTGTGTGTGTACCGCAAGTGTTGCTTCAGCTGTGCGATGCGATCTTAACAATTACACTTTGCTTTTTTTCCATCTAACGTCGTGAAACACTACTGTTCACGATATCTGNCACACAGGTGCTTTTATAACAAAGGCGGGGTTCGACTCCCCCACAAGCGGCGCGCATTTTTCCGGAACTCGCATTGGCCTCCGCCTGTTGTGCTAATCGGAAATTTCATTGTTACCCTGAGATTATGCGAGACGTTGCGACTTTACATTATGAAAGATATCGCGAGAGGCGTGTAGTAAGCGCCCGTGTGACGCGAAGTCATACATGAAGCGTCCGATGTGAGCTCCTTGACATCCAAATTTCTTCTCCGATGACACGCGGTTGCTCACGTGTGTCCGGAAACATAGCAGTAACCCCCTTATTACAGGAAGAAGAGAATCATGTATATATACGGCGCAACCGTCGGTTACGATAATGTTGCTGTAATTGCTAATCCGGCTTATCGTCGACAATAACAGACCCGACAAATCCCGCGGGCAAAACGCGCGAATTTCCAGAAAGAAAAAATGATAACCATTCTTCTTCTCTCGTAGAATCGTAATCGAAACAGAAAGACGTGACGACGGATGTTTACGTCGGCATGAAATTGCGCAAACCGATATTCTCTTACAAAATATAGTAGTTTGTGAAATTACGTTGATATATTGCGCGCACGCGTCTGACATATGAGTTTCTTCTCATTTATGTTAACTTCGCGGCGGTGAGAAAAAGAGAGATGGATATAGAAAACTAACGTGAATGAATTAATCAACGGAATATAAATTAATACATTGATTAAACATGTTGCAGTAATTAAAGATATCAATTTTAAACTTTGAAAACAAAAACAAAATGTAAAACAATAGAATGGTGATACCGAATCATGGTAATGTATCGCTCGCTACTTACAGGACATTGGCGAGATGTCGGATTTGTCAATTCGACNCATAATATGGCATCTAGCAACAAATATCTTGTTTTAAATTTCAAATGAGATTGAAATTATTTACATTCTGTTTTTTTTACCTTCTTCTTTTGATATTATAAATCATTTCTATGTCAATTAATTAACTCTACCGGAAAATTGGTCAAAACGCAATTAATGGCAACAAGTTGTAGCTCAACCAACAGATGTATCATNGATGTAAATATTTCGTGATTTTATTTTTATCGGAATGTGAATACTTTTTGCTATTTTTACCTTCACGGTCGATTATATACGCGTTTTCCATCTAATCGATTTCTTTCGCGTTCTCGGCAAACGAGATTGAATCTGCGATCGATATTCAGAACAACGAAGTATTGTCTGCG